GGGCCAGAAAACACCAAGCCGTATCTCTCTTGATGACGTTACGCCTCACAGTATGGTTTAGGCTTGTTCAATCCGAGCTGGCCTAGGCGCTTGGCTTGAGCCACCCACTCCGTTAGGTACAAGGAAAGAACGAGATTAAACTAGAACAAAATGATATTGATAAAGATAATGGCCTGACTGACATAACAATACCTACCTCGACAGACTCGGGGATATCGTAATGGACAGACGCCCCGAATTTGTCCGTTACCTTGACGGTAAAAGTCAAATTGCCACTTGGCAAAGCAAAATCGTTGAGATCGGAACTAGAGCCCTGCCCTAAAAGTGTTGGAGGACCTTCTTTATTCTGATTGTAGAAGAATGTGTAGGTTAAAGACTCATCTGGCCCATCTGGGTCTTTGAAGTTTCCACATTTTATGGCAAATCCAGGTTGTAGTGGTTCCCCTTTTTTGGGAGATACTTCACATCGGCCTTTTCCTGGAGGCTTGTTAACTTCAACATTGAAAGTGCTTTTGCCATTTGCTTTACCACGTTCAAACTTTCCACTAAGTGTGACCTGGTATTTCATAGTAGCTATCAAAGAAAAAAACTCGATAAGTGATTATAAATTAAACATGCGGAAAGGAAACCGTGGCTGCTTAACCAAAGCCCTAATTTACATCCGTCTCATATGAACAGAAAATTAAAGGTACCGGGTTAATATCTGAGCAGCCGCCAACAACGTAGCCTCCCACGCAGGCGTTTTTAGGGGAGCTCGTGTTTCATCCCTCCCCACAAATCATTGATTTCATTGATGTCATTGATGTCATCGACCAGGAACGTCTGGTATACAAGAACTATAAGAAATTTTCAGAAGTAAACGCTTTCCCAAGAAAATAACAAAATATCACTCTTCTCACTTGCGGGTAGGTAAATTACGTTACGATGTCTGCTGAGTATACCTCTTAGACTATGTCTTCGCTATAGTCACTATACCCAATACAGTATGAACTCGGAAACAAGTCGTTCACACTGATCGAATATCGTGCCATAGCAGTAGTTCCATCTCAGTGGGTTCCAGTCCTCGCTCGTGCTTATTTAATTCTTTTACGGTCTCAATACTTGTTCCCACTGCATCAAAGTCTGGCACAGAACCCATGCGATATGTAACGTTCCACTTTCAATATCGGCTCTGTGTAGCTTGGCTCCGTTACAGAAATCGCGCCGAAATCACCGTTCTTGTGCATGAACAGAAGCCCTATCCGGTATGGTTTTTGTGGCGGCTCAAAAGCTGCCCGTTACAGTGTGAACATGGCGTCAATTTGGCTGTTTCACCCTTCGTTTGGTTTTCAGCATCGTTGTTGTTAGCCTCCCACGCAGGCGTTTTGAGGGGAGCTCGATCGTTTTTCAATCCTCCCCACAAACGCCTGCTCAAGCGAAAACAATGATTACTCATCGATTACTCATTGATGTTATGCATCATCGACTAGTTACGTCTGGTGTATAAGGACTTGTATGGCGATGGCAACGAGAACGTCACTATTAAAAAGCTTTCGCGTTTTTCAAACAACTCGCTTAATCGTAAAAAAAGACCCTGGAACTGAATACTTCGCGGTGGTATGTTTACGTCCTCTATTTACTATTTAAGCAATATACCACACTCTCTATGGGTTTACCGTCGTGATAACCCACGCGGGATGTTGGGAGAACACGAGAAAAGCTTGTAAATCAGGAGCCGAAGGCGAGTGATTTACAAGCTTTTCGAGTAAAATAAAATAGCTTTTAGTAGAATGGAGTCTTTTATGGTTCTAGTACCGTGAGCAAGTCACGTCTTCTCCCTAATGTCATCATAAGCCAATCATGACTCACGATTTAATAGCGTTGAACTTTCTCAAAACTCAGATCAGTCAAACAACAAACAGCAGCACTTCAAAACACGAGTTTTTGCACTCATTACATGATAACTTATGAAAGTTGTTTTACAGGAAAAGTCAACGTATATTCATGCGAACGTACAATAAAAGAATACGTTCGTGGTTTGTCTACTACAGAAGTAGAAATTTATTGAACATCAGACTGTACGCAGCTGTATTTTGTTGAGTCGATCCGTAAGAATTTCGTGCTTACAGACGGAACTGGCAGCTATTGTAAAAGAGGACTTCATTCACTTTTTACAAGCCGCAGTGGTTTAAGATCTGTTTCCTGGACTTTATTATGATCAAGAAATGCTGCGGTAACGACGTGGCTGCATTTGCGAAGTTGTCGCACGAAACTTATGTAAGTAGAGCGACCGATGGAAATATGTCAGTGGTGGAGAAAGGTTTCTTTGCCGTAGCCACATATTGGCGTTGATATTTGTCGATTCGTGAAGTCAGGTGGTTTGAGGTAGGTTATGGCATCTATATCACCGAATAATTTGAGCAAATGTTGGAAAAAACCAGCCCGAAACTCTGACACCTTTCATCATCGTTGGCAGCTTGTTTACAACCTACAGCGGCCGATTTTGTACCATATCTTGATCAGAGATCTCTTTTTGGAACAATTTCTTTCATTAAGGAATTTAATTTTGACATAAAATAAATCAAGAATGCTAAAACTATCCGTTTTGTTGCTGGTTGGCAAATGGTTAAGTTTTCCTAGAGACTTTCTACACCAGAAATTCACGCAGTTGTTGTCTTTCTCTGCGATTTGGCATCGTCGTGAAATGTAAAATGTTTTCCAGCTTTGTACTTTATAACTTCTAAAGCAATGGCAGTAGCGAATTGTGACGCTCAGTGATAAAATGTGGAAACCAACGCTTTAATATTAAGAAGGGCTGGGTAAGTAACTTGTTCTGTTTTTTAGCCTTTCTAAAATCGTTGTTTGCAGATCAATAGCCGGTTTTGTTTATGGCTCGTGGTCCGGATGCCTTTTTCTATGGGTTGACCGGTATAATAAACTATAGGTTTTTGGACCAATCAGATCACGCGTACTATCTCAGTTATTTTATAAATTCAGATAGACCATAATGCACGTTGTTTACGCCCCAACATTTCGGCATAACCATTGTCTTGGATTTCTCTTGGGACGACTGTAATACCCCGGAGAAATTGGAAACAATGGTTATGTAAAATTTGGGTGGGGTGGTAGGGGGGGGGGGTAAACAAGGCGCATCATGGTCTATGTGAAAATGGTGAATAAACCGTCTCATGAGGGTATTTCACGTTGTACTCGTGCAGTGAGGGCAGAGAAATGTACATAAAAAGTGTGCTACACGCGTAGAAATGTTGTTTTGGCTTATTAAACCTGCTGCTTTTTTGACGTTCTTGTTGTCGTTGCCGTCGTCGGTGCTAAAGCTTTTTATTCCTTCGTCCACAGTCTTCTTTCTATCACACCCCTTGCGCTTTTTGAGGAAGAGCCATGGACAAAATTAAACTATTCTGATGAAAAGAAAAGCTTAATTTTGTAGGCAAAAGTAAAGATTATCTTAGTGAATCAACCACATTTCACTACCAAAATTACCGTTAAAATAACCCGGGTTTATGACCAAGGTCTCTGACGTCAGATCCGGCACTGCGGAGTAACTCTGCAGGTTCTTTTCATCTGAACAGCCTGAGGTATCACTGAATGTATCACATATTTGAACGCTCCACCCGTAAATTATCTTTCGGTTATCTTTGGACTTCCCTTTTCCTTTTAATGAAAATTTCTCCGATCGGTTTAATTTTTCCTTGCAGTTGTTAAGACACCTGAAATTAAAAGCAAGTAGCGATGAAAATCACATAAAGGGTGATCGCCATTAAGTTAGATATTTGCTGGTTATTCCAGTTGATTTATAATCACCATAGCCTCGTTTTTGGGCTACGATTTCCCAGCAACCTTTGCGCTGCAACTGTGCCTTAAAAGGCGACAATATAGAGCAGTATTTTTAACATTCAACTGACAAACAAGAGAGAATTTACCATCAGCTATCAAAAAATAAATTTTCCAACTGCCAACAGCAAGCAAGCAGAAAAAACGATGAAAGATTCCTTGGTCAGAGTCTTCTTTCCTTTACAAATCACGTTGTAATATTTTGTCACGTCGACTTGATCTCGTACCCAGATGTCTTGCCTACGAAGCCGAAGGCAGGCCAGGTCTGGTTAAGTAAGAAAATTCAGTTTTTTTGATTGGCTAGATTGTGAGCGAATGACGTGAGCCGCTTGTCTCTTGTGCGCGCTATGGCTTGACATGTGCAATTCATTCTTTGTAAAGTCTTCAGATCTGCTCAAATAAGTATTTTCATTGAAGAAGTAGTTTTCCGTGTCAATATAACTTGTAAATCCGTTTTAATCTCATCTTTAAAGACTTTTTAAAACTCTCTCGGTATCAAAATTAAGAATTTTGAAAAGGGTAAAAAAACAATTCTCGCGTAGAAGTTGACGCGTAGTGCTTTGAGCTTTTAAGTGATAGTACACGACGATTTTTAGCGCAACGTAGCGTGATGGTACACGACGATTTTTAGCTCAACGTAGCGTTGGAATGTTGTAACAGTGTTGCAACCATTTGAAGCAATGTCGCAACAGTGTTACAACGCTGTGTTGCGCTAAAAATCATAGTTGCAAATCGTCCCGTGTAACATCACTTTTAGCGCGCAATGATAATTAAATTTAAACTACGACCGTGGACAAAAATTGTTAAGAATTTTGCACTTTCTTACTCACAGGAGACCCACCCTGCGAATTTGGCACCATGATGTAGTCATCGGAGCATAACGGTGCTTATATATCCTCCGTAAACCCGGAATAACCGGCTGATTTTTAGCAAGTAGACAGTTTTTATCTTGTTGTATCTGGATGTGCTACCCGAACCCCACAATTTCGTAAAATGTAGTTTTATGACGTTAACACTTCTCTTCTAAATTGAGTCGGAGTAGGAAGTTCATAGTATAACTAAAAATTGATAAGACATACTTACTCGATACTTATCTCAGGAGGATCACCTTCAATAATGGCAATATCTTGATCCTTAAAAACCGACGCTCGCCCTCTTTTTGCCATGACAAATCTGATAGTATATGTTTTGCCTGCAATCGCCATGCTTGTATTTAACGTTATTATTTTTGTTTCGTTAAAATCCGTAAGTTGACCTGGAGCATATCCGAAACAGCTTCCATTACTCAAGGGATTGTTTGTCTCAATAGAGGATATATTTTCCGGCAACTTGCCACCACTAAAGTTACAAAACCAAGCAAACTCGAAATTGCTTCCTGGTTCATCTGGGTCCACTGACTTAGAAGCATCAATTTGCATTGTAACGTCATTGCCTACAGTCCTCTTGGAGCCGCCCAAAATACTTGCCGCGAGAGGAGTTGGAATAATTTCAATAGAAAATTTCTTCTCACTGCTGCAAAATCCCTCTGCCCAAGTCATGTTGATCGAAAACCGAAATTCGATCTCTTTGCAAATATTGAAATGCCTCGCGGGATAGTGCAAATCAGCTGATTTTGAGATGAATTCCTCTGGCATCGGATCTTCTTCATGAATGCCGCATCTCTTTGTAATTTTCCACCTGAGTTCGGTAGTACAATTGAAGCAGTGAAACGTGTTCACAGGTTTGATAGTAATCTTCTCTGAGCGTTTGAACTGCTGTTTATAGGATTCAAATCCAGGAACGCTAATTTTGGGTATTTCACATGGTCCTCTTCTCTCTAGCAAGAAAAGAAGACAAGGCTAAATAAACACCTAAGTGGTCCGGACGGAAACAGTTAATTTTGTTTCCTGAGAATCTCAACGGTGGCGGGTAACAGTGCACTCCTACCCTCTGACGTCATAGATTTGCAATGTTACCCGCTCAGAGGTTTTGACGGAAAACAGTTTAATTGTTAGATGTCATGTGACTTCGAAGTAACTAATGAGAGCGCGCGCTGTTGGGAAGAAAATTTCCAGCTATATAACAAGATTTATTTCACCAATCTTGGTTTACATATGACACAGGTTGAGCAAAGACAAATAAATACATTTAAATAAGTAAAGAATAACAATTGTAGCATCTAGATAAGGAGCGACTTGGGATCATCCAAAAAGCTAAAGCTAATCCAGTGGACGACCCCCAAAATACAATTAGAACAATAGAATATTTCCTTTTTAGAATTGTATTTCGTCAAGCTATGTTGCTAAGGTAAATGAATACAGTCAACTCCCTTTATAGCGGACACCGTAGGGACCTTGGGCTAGTGTTCTCATTAGCGAGATTCCGTTATAGCGGGAGTTTATTTCAGTCAAACAACTTCGTTATTTTTGTCTGGGATTTAGTGGCCTGCGCCACCGTACGAGACTAACAGTCTGGTTAAGTGCGTCTGCGAAACAGCGCCCGAAAGCCTTGGTCTAGACCCCCACCTGCCTGTGTACCAGGATTTGAGTACGCGCTATGATTGGCCTGTTAAAAAAGCCATTGTCGATTTCCCGATCAGGTTGAAAGGAAATTCGACACGCACTTCAGGTAATTTGTTGAGTCTGTTGGAGGCCCAGAACAAGAATGTCGTGGCTGCTTCACAGACGTTACTAACCGATGTTAGATTACGTCTGCTACGCAGACTAGGGATTTAGCTGCTGTCCGTGTTATGGGGGTGTCCGCTATAGAGGGGTATCTGCAAGGGGAAAGTTGACTGTATTTAATTAGTATAACAACTAATTATAGGGTTTTGAGGCCGATGTGGTGGGTCGAATACAAACTAGGAAGACGCCTAATAACCCCGCCTTTATCAATATCTTTTCAAAGATCTTGTTTAACAGACGCACACTATTTGCTCTGGTGAACCTTAGATGCTCTCCCCTGAAATCGGCATATTTCGTAGTGAAGGAGGAAGCTCAATAATAGCGGAGCTCTTGCGCGCGAAGCGCGCGCAGCGGAGCACCATGGTTAAAAAAATGTGGCAAACTACCCATCCGAGAAAATTTGGTAATCACGTGACCGTACACCGGTCGACCGACCGCCCGCCCTACCGTCCGTCCGCACTACTGGCATACCAATGCAAAATAATTCAATCAACAGGTATGGCAACCCAAATGCAACTCAAGGTTTTATTTGGAAAGAGATCGCATGGCCGCCCGGACTATTAGAAAGAAAAAACAACTACAAAGTCGTTTCTTTTTCGACGTTATTTTTTTATGTATACACTCACGTGGATAACAGAGAAAGAGCTAGAGCGAGTGATTGAAAACAGAAGAGACGAACTTTGTAGGAAGAAAAACATGAAAATTCAAAGCGGCTGTGAGACAATGAGAAATGCTAGCGGCCAGCAAGGTGAAAATGAGAGGCAGTGGAAAATAAAAGCGAACATGAACACAGGAGACAAAATATTGGGTAAGCAAATTCGACCATTCCTCCAGAAAAATGATGTGTAACTAGGACGTTTGACGTTTGACCCCTACAAAACAGCGTTGTAGTTGTGCAAAACAACGGCAAAGAAAGAGAAAAAGCGTGCTGCACGTGCAAATTTGTTTTTTTGCTAATTTTTTTGCACATGCAATAATTAGATCTATCGATCTTGATGCCATTTTCATTGCCCTCCCCGTTTAGCATTACACGATTTAATTTTTTTTGTTTACAAGAATTATTAACCAGAGCTTCGCTTTTAGCCCTGGCTAAATCTATATATTACCCTACCTTGGAAGGGTGTTGGATATAATGAGTACCTTCAAAAAGATAGTAGGAGTGTCGACAAAAGTGAAGAAAGGGACCTCTCCCAAGAAAGTAATTAAAGTCTCTCACGAAACAGATTCTTCTCAAGAACAGACAGAAGAGATTGAACACTTACACTTAGATCCTCTTTGATTAGTGAGATTGAGAAAACGTGACTAGCGTTAAGGCCAAGAATTCCCTCCTTCATGTCTACAGAAAAGAGCTCAGAAAGGTACTCTTAAAGTATATTCAGTAGATGCGTGCTATGAAAAAGATTCTACCAGCCATGTAAACCAAGCTATTCCCGAAGACGAGGCCTAATTCCTACTTTACATTGCAATATAGCATTTCAACTTTGTGAAATTTTGTTGTGTTAGCTCTCATTAAACGTATTAGAAATTATGCCCAGCGTCTTATTCTTACGTGAATTTTACTCTCGAGTCTCGAGTGTTCAACAAAACCGCACTCTTATACCGGCAAGTACTAAGTGGTTCCTCAATTTGGCCAACCTCTACATCTAGTTAGAATACGGTACCAGACGTCTTTTGCCGAGTTTCCTTCTCGTTTCTAAAGTGTAAAAAACACACCTGATGGCGGTACGTATGAACGATTGACAGGAATAAGCGCTGCAATTGTAGTGGGACCTGTACTGTCATTATTATGCCCTTCTTTTTTCCAATCCACAGCGTTTTTTCCTTTGTATCCAATGGAAGTGAACGAACTGTTGGGGCCAATAGTGGAACTTGACTGTATTCCCACCTCTTCCAGTTGGCTAGTGGGGAGACTTCGACCGCTTACTAAACCAGACTCTTGTATTGCAATCAACACTACTGTCTCCTGGGGCAGACTACTTAGAAAGGTACCTAAGTCGTCGCATTTGGCCTGGCTGGCAGCACAATCGAATGCACTTGAATTTAGAAACCGACCTAGGCAGAAAAAGGCATGAGAAAGTTTACTTATAATTTAGTAGAAAAGTAAGCTTTAAGTTTCTTTGTCAAGTTAAATAGTGAGCCAAAAATATAATTATCGCCATTTCACGAGCGTCAGATAAGGAGACAAAAACTTGAGTCCTGGACTAAGTAGATTCGAACTTAAAACATCCCTAAAAGTGAGCGCCGGCGTGCTCTATCCACTCATGAAATACGGAAAGACTCACAAGCCTGGAATAATGTAGATTCTGAGCACATGGGGCACTTTTAGGGACGAGCCTGAAGGACCAGCCATAAAGGCTCCCTATAGCTAACACCCCGGCTCTATAGATCTAGTGCTGTCCGCCTATATTCTATAGCTATCTGAAAAATTCCTTATTCAGTACCGATTTACCTGAAAGAAGATCAAAGACAGCTACATTGAAACCTCTAGTCTGTGGTGCGAAGTTTTTGCCATTAACTGTGATGTAAGCTAAGCCGTTCGTCGAAGGAGTTTTTCCAGGATCATTGGCCGCTTCGGTTGTTAACCTGACATTTAGCAGCATGATCGACACATCTGTTGAAACGAAAAGACATCGATCAATTCCACAAAATCTGTTACTTTAACTTACAAAGTGCGCTCGTCATATAGTAAAAACCCGCATATAAGAACATAAGAGAACTTAAGTTCTTCCAAGCTAGGCTAAGAATCCAAGCATATTAAAGCCATTTATGAAGTTTATACAAAGCTTTGCAAGGTAAACAGAACAAAAACAACATTAAAACATGGTACTGTGTTTTTTATCTTATCTTATCTATTATTTTACTAAGTGGTGGAGCTTGCTCTATTAAATTTTTGTATTCAGTGTTCCACTGAATTTCTCAAAATGAGAACCTGTTTCAAATTTATAGGCTAAAACAGGTTCTTATGCAGCCTAGCAGGTTCTTAAAATGTAGGTTCTTATACGCGGGTTTTTACTGTATTTGAATCAGTTTTAATTTTGCTCTGTTTCCTTGTACTTTATAAAATTACTGGAAACCGTTTTTATTATATATTATATATGAGCCAGTTTCAGTTTCTTTCAACACTCTTTTCTAGTCTGCCTTTTGAGTCGTTATTTTTCTTGGCAGGTATTTTAACCATATATTTAATTTCCTTTGGTAGACATAGCTACGTACAAACGGCGGGTTAACTCCCAACATTGTCGGGCGAACAATGTGGGAGTTGTTGCGTCCGTGTTGTCAGTGGTGTGCAAACGGATGCAACATTTCCCCAGCCTCGTTCCCAGTCGTCGTCTGCGATTTCGGATGTGACGTCACCTGTCAAGCTTGTCGGAAACGCACTCGGTTTCAAGCCTCCTTTTATAACTCGGATAGCGCGAACTGGCATGGGTACGAGGCTGAAGATCTTGAAAATCGTGTGTAAAGCGAGTGCGTGGCCCTAACAATGGTGAAAGAACTGTGCAAACGGATCCAATATTGTTACGCTTCGCTTCGGCAATCACAGAACAAAAGAAATGTTCGGAGTCGTTGGCTCAAAAGCTTAACCACTTACAAGTGTAACTATTGTTTTCATACTCTAAATCACTGGCTACATTTGTAAACTGCATCTGTAAAAGTTTTTGTTAAACTGACCCCGATTTCAAACTTTGCGCAACAACAACAACACCCAAAAACAAACAACAAGGTGTGCAAATGGACGCAACATGAATCATCCAGCAATGTTGCGTCCGTTTGCACTTGGTTTAACTGATCTTGGGTTTGCCTTCAAGAAGGTTTCTGTATGTTTTGGTTGCCATTTAGTTCCATTTTAGTTATATCCTTGGCCTTCATTAGTCATG